AATGGTGACGTATGTACCTTTTAAATTTAAGTACAAATACTTATAAATCAATTTTTACTAAGTTAAACAATTGAACGATACTAGTAAGGTCCACGCTTATTTTGATAATAATAATGATTGTGTATTTTACAATTGTATGACTTTAATTCAACAACATAGCAGTTTTTTTTTAATTTATTTATTTGTTTGTTTTTTTTTTCAATGTACATGAGACTCAACGGTTTTCTAAAAAAAAAAAAATTTTTCAGTGTGTAAAAATTTTGTACAAAATATTGTTTGAATTCAAGAATAAGAATTAATCTATGAAATATAATTTGGTCAATTTCTTCCTCAACCCTTTGGTATCCTGTTTTTTAGATGTTACGGATATGATCCATTACAAATTTATTTGCATCACGCAAGATTCATCTAGATGCTGAGTTGGTGTATGTATTAGGAGTAAATAATTTTTTAGGTTACTTGTGTTCTAAATCTTATTTAACTTGAATCAACAGTAGTGTTTTGAAAGTCCTTATACATTTGTAATGAATGAAAGTAAGTTCTCAATGAAAATAACATTTTTCTACCTCGGGCATTTTCGAGACTGGCTGTGCCCTTGGTAGAAAAAACAGTGTTCGGCACACAAGTGCCATCCATATCTGGGGCTACCTTACGGTCCCTCGGGCCGCAAAATGGCCCTGGATACGATTGCACTTTAGTGACGAAAACTCATTTATTCCTCAAGAGTAACGTGTATTATTTTTCCATCTTATTACAACCCAATGGTAGAGACACGTAGTTATGTTTTAAACATGAGTTCGGTATACATTTTATCATTTGTAAATTATACTAATTGGTATTTGATAAATTTAATTATTTGAAAAATTTAGATAACGTTTAACTGTCAATATATAGAGGAACTGTATGTTTACATTTTTCGCACCTCGAGCACACATAAGTGCCCATTGGGACCATTGGGTGCGTCAATGGAATATGTCCACTGCATATGAAAATTAAAATTTTCAATTCTTATTGTAACGAGGCTTACTTCTTTCAAAGCATTCAAACAAAAAAAAAAATAAACCAAATGAAAATATCCTATCTATTAGAGAATTATACTTTTAAACCCAAGGGCGTACATTATAGGAGCTTCAAAAATGTTTACCAATAAGGCATTTCAAGTCACAAGATTAAGTTTCGTTGCCGTAGATAGCCCCGATTCTAAATTCTGAGAGCTACTCAGCTAAATTAAAAAATTTTTAATAAAAAATAAAAATTTAAAAAAGATATCAGCGCCATCTATAGATGCACATGTATAGAGTAGTACTTAACAAAGCAGTCGGTACTGTGGAAACGGCCGAGTTTTTCTTTCTAGCGGAGTGGTCGTGTGGCGTGTTATCAAGGAAGTGAGTGAACTTAAATACAATCCGCGAAAATCTTTATTTCTGTGATATAAATAAATATTGTAAGGATGTGAAACTCTTGTTTAATACTTGCATTACCAATTGTAAACCGTCGTTTTCTAAAAATATCCAAATAGTCGATATTTGACGGTCTGTTATAGCAAGTGTTCAGTGTCTCGTCGTTACTTCCGAAACATTTTTTTTTCTTATTACGGACAATCCTGCCATTCATCGTATAACTAGTGTAAATCATTACCTATTTTTTATTCAAGCTCGGATTCGTTACGTGTTCGTTGGTCAAATGACACAAATTTTCTGTTGTTAATTTTCTCAACCTAACCTATTACGCGACTTCACACTGTGCAGTTGTGTACACAAGAGTTTCACGCAACTTTTGACAAATAAGTACTGCTGTTAGCTGCACATCCACCCATACTAATCAGCATGATCTAACTTCTAGATGGCTGATACCAAGGCAAAGGAGGTAAAGGCAGCTGCACCTGCAGTTAAGCCCAAAAAGAAGATTGGCAAGCCCAGGAACTACAGTTTAGGAAATGGAGTCTACAGGTTCAGTAGAACTCGCATGTTCCACAAAAAAGCTATCTATAAGTTTCTTGACAAGAAGACACCCAAGAAGGTAAACTTCATATGATGTTTTTTTGATCAAACAAATGCTTAAAGATCTTTTAGACAAGTTGTTTTTCAGTTCCTTAATGAAACTTTTTTTGTACAGGTTGTCCCCAAGAAGCGCAGCACAGTCATGAAGACTATTGGCGGTGAAAAAAATGGAGGCACCAGGACTGTTTTGCTTAAAAAAAGGAGGGCAAATTATCCAACCACAGATCCCATCAAGCCTCACCCATCTAAAAAGTGCTTCAAGGATCACAAAAGGCACCTCAAAGTAAACTATACTAAGGGAACTGTCCTTATCCTATTGGCTGGTAAACACAAGGGAAAGCGAGTTGTATTTTTGAAACAACTTAAAAGTGGATTACTTCTTGTCACAGGTGAGTTAATTATTAATTCATAGTTTTTTTAATGCATTACAGCCATATTTAATAGATTTAAATTCTTTATGATTTTTGATTAATTACATTCACTGCTCACGTAGTTTTATTTTTTTTTAATTTTTTTATTTTTTATCAATAATTTACTCAATGTGCTATTAAATATTATTTCATCCAGTGCTTTTTTACAATGCATAATATTAAATATAAATTATTCATATCTCATGATTTATTTCTCTCTTTCCTTCTAGGGCCTTTCAAAATAAATGCTTGCCCATTAAGAAGAGTCAATCAAATCTACACCATTGCCACGTCCGCAAAACTTGATCTTAGCGACTTTAAAGTCCCGAAGCACTTGAATGACGATTACTTTAAGAGGCAACGTGAAAAGAGGGCCAAAAAAGAAGAGGGTGATATCTTTGCTAAAAAGAAGGAAGGGTACAAACCAAGTGACAAGAGGAAGGAAGATCAGAAGGTTGTTGATGACAAGGTCATTGATGCTGTTAGGAAACATCCAGATAAGAAGTATGTATTTGCCTACTTAGGCTCCATGTTTGGACTGCGCAGTAGCCAATATCCACACAGAATGAAGTTTTAATCGTTAAAATCTTTAAATACCTACAACATCTTAAGGAATTAATAAAAAATTGTAAAAATTTATATTACAGTTTTCGTTTTATTTATTTCATGTAAGTTAACAATTACTTAGATGATTTAATTCTTATCGATCCCTTAACTGGCATTGCACTTTTACATTTATTAACTTGAGTGACTTGATTCAAAAACTCAGCCTCTAGCCTTACATAACTACCACCTAGACATAAAATTAGATTTTGTTATTATTTTCTAATTTACAAAATAAATAATGCATAGGTATATACCAATTGGTTGAGCATTATTATTCCATAGATTGTGTTTAACTAATGAATGACTCTTGGGATGTAGATTATACTCTAGTATCGTTCTCTTAGATAATAATGCTATCATTTGCGTCGCTGCTTTTTCTTCAAAATCTCTTTGATTGTCTTGGTTATACCTTATACTTAAATTTCCACTCCATGAACCCATTCCCTCGCATCTGAAAATTATTGTAAATCTGTACCCTATTACTTAATACAATTACTATTAAGCAAGAAATTAGTACCTTTTGAGAATTTTTGCTCTTTCCTTTTTTCTTCTAACAGAGTATTCAATTGGCTCCCAGCCGTGAGGTTCTTCACCGTTAGAATCATCCTCAAAACTGCTATTACTTTCGCTTTCCTCATAATCACCATCACTGCATGACTCAGATGACACTGCTGATGAAATAGCCTCAGTCACTTGTGAAGCTTGTCGCACTTTTTTTGCTTTCTGCATTGAAGTTTGACAAGGTTTGTGAAGTCCTGATCCTCCCCAAATTTTAGCTGCAACAATCAAAACACAAGTTAGTCAACACAAGCACAATCATAATCCTTTTAATGAAATTGTGTTGATGAGAAATGCGTACCGAGAAGACCTAATTTTGGACGAGCGGGCAAAATTTCCATGCCCTCCCACCAAAATGTTTCTTTACATGCCAACTTTCCTGGTGAGAGCGAAGCATCGCGCGCTATTAATCTCGTGATTTTTTCAGGAAAAAATAGCTGCGGGGTTTCGAGAGAAATAACTTCTCTGTACGTGAGAAAAATGTTAATAATACTCTCATCATTTTCTGAAACTATATTCGGCACATGTTCCTAAATAAAATTCAAAAAGCCATTTTCTAAATTCTTAAAAAGATAAGCGACAATTATTAAAATTCTGTAAGTACCCACTCTGAATTTGCAACCGTCTCTATTAGTTATCGCTTGAAACCTGTATGCTCTTTGACTGCAGCAAGGATATCTACCTAAGGGAAAGGGCGTCGTCCTTTGCTGCTCGTTTATAAAATACTGCGGATTCTCCGGATGATACGAACACCAGTCCATCTGATTGATTGGAAAGTAAATTCCGCACTGCTTGCAGAATAAAAAGTGACAGTCGCCCCATAGTCTCCAGTAAACTCTGCGCCAGGAGCGCAGTTCCGAGCGAAGACAAACTATGTAGTCGTTTAAGTTCCAAGTCAAGTCTCTGGATGTAATAAATAAAATGCTTAATCGTTTTAGCTACGTTTAGGTTTCACTTTTTTTTTTTTTTTTTTTTTTTTTTCATAGAACCATTTGTACCTAGTATGCTTACTGTGAAGATTTCCTTTGCTGTCGATTTTCATGTTACCGGATACGCAAGGCACTAAGTCCGAAATCGATCTAACAACATTTTTCTCACACTTTGTACATTTGAAAAGCGTAGCCAGTGAGCCAAAATGACCTCTTCCGTTGTCAGGATTGGGATAAGCCAGAGTTAAGATAAGCTTGGAAAAGAGTCGGCTCTGAATTTTATCTTTTTTGTCCTTTATAGCTTCAACCTCTGCATTGGTGAACAAATCGGCTAATCTCGTTAGCAAACTATCGCTCAGACAAGTCAGGAGAGTCGTCGTTTTTAGTATTTCCGACATATTGTCGTGGCAGTAGGTGAGACAGTTCTGGAGAAGCGGTTCCATTTGGAGAAACGAAGCGGATACCATGATGGGAATGACATTGCTGGTTTCGAGAACGGGCCACTCGGATTTTTTAATTATGTCCTTTTTGACCCATCGCATCAGCCAGTCAAAGATGACGACGTCGCAGTGCACCGATATGTCCATTTCTTCGAGTTTCTGACCTGCAGTGACATCCGCAAAGTAACACATCTTCTGAATCAGTAACTTTTGAGGACAACGAAAGTCCTTCTTTATGTTCTTTGCTTCATCGCACACGTGGATCTCGACTTCGACGCTACATTAAAATATCATGCACTTTGACTTTTTTTGTTCGACTTATAAGAAAAACTCGAAACACTTATGTACTTACTCTGAATACTTTTTTTGTTTACTCTTGTCCTTATCTCTTTCTTTGAGACTGTTTAGGCCCACAGCTCGACTTTCACTGATATTTGGAGCTGAAATTGATTTCTTTGGTTCAAACGCTTGGGGTTTTTTTATCACTGGCTGTGAAAGTACAGGTTTGGAAATCATGTAAGGAAGGACGGAATCAAGTATTCCCTCGTGGAGAACGTCGCTTAGGCATCTTTTCATAACGGTCGACAGAATTGGTTCTTTTTTATTCTCCGGTCCAGCCAGTATTGAACTACTTGACTTGTTTAAAGTGCCCTGAGCTTTGTCTTTGATCACTTTATCGTTTTCATCAGTTTCTTTTGGGCCTATCGGACAATTTGATTGTTCTTTACCCATTTTCGAAGTGCTTGACTCCTATTTTTACGTGAATATTAATATTTTAGATTTTTTACTACATACCAAAGGGATTGATTGAGATTTTAGAGAATCATAAATAGTTTAAGAACCTTTTGTAACGCTATTTGCAAATTTTTGTCGGCTTTGGCATTGTCTCCTACTCTCAATGGAATGTCTGATTCTTCAAAATCTAAAGTAGTCTTAGCCAAGGCGGTCCAATCGATCTCACTATTTGCCGTTAAAGTAGTTGCTAAATCGTCGAAACTCGAGTTTACTTGATAAGCAGTCTTCATAAAGTCGAAAAACATCTTTACAGATAGTTCTGGGTACGTATTTTCATCTTGAATTTTTTCAGGAACTTTATTTTTACGAATTACGTAATTTTCAATTAGTCGTTTTGGTGGCATTGACTTGGTAAAAAAATTACAAGCTTGTTACTACTACCTTCAATTTGCGCTGCCACATCACTTGGCTTGATAACGTCATTGGGGATTTTCGGCAAATCAAGTTGCTTGAATAAATTTGGATACATTTTTATGGTTTAAACAATATTTTTGTTATTACGTAATATTACTTATTATCTCAATTTTTACAACGGTATTTTAATATTTTCATTTTTTACTTAACAGTACATTTTGAATGGCAAAGTATTAGGTGAACTGTTTACAAAAGATTTTTTAATTATTCTTAACAGGTTAAAAATTCATTAACAGGCAAAATATGACATAACAATAACAATCGTCCATTCATTATTTTAAATGTAAGTACGTGTTCCTACATCTTTTGACTAGGCTACTTTTAATCTTGTATGCTGTTACTAAGGAAGGCATTGATTAAACATTTTTCGATAAATTGCTATTTCTTTTTTATTTAAAGTGGTTTCAAGGAAAAAATAATCACATCAATGACAATAATTAACACTATTAAAGTCAATTAAAACTTTTAATGTTCACGACTTTCGAAAAACTATTTACATCTATAAATTTAAAAATTTTACCGCGTTTTTTTCAAAATAATCCGAGAAATACTTTTACATAACTGCATTATTTTTTTAATTTATAATTTTTTACATATTTAAATGTTCTGATACAATAAAATTTTGTAGTTATAAAACAGTTCGAGCTTCATTTTGCGTTAGCGAAAAATATATTGAGCTCATGCCTGATATTATCAACCTATCACGACACGATCCAGTCCGATTTTTCAATGTTTGATGCACACCATCCTTTTCTCAGAAGAAAAAATAAACGCGAAGGCAAATAAACATTTTATTTTATAATTTTTTATTTTAATAACAATCTCAAGTACTTTATAAGTTTTCAAAATGCTTCAAGTTGTTATTCACTATGAATGTATATACAAAACCTTTTTATTGTTATGCTTTGTACAAGTGCATAAATTATATTTGATACAAGAAAATAAATCGTGTTTAGAATTTTTTTGATGAATTAGATAACAAAAAATAATGAGGGAACAATTGAATTTTCTGTGATGATCAAATATTATATAGCAAAATAACGAAAAATTACAAAAATGGTTCAATATTAATTTCTAAAGAAGTACAGGGAATAGTGAGACCAAATTTATTTAAAACATCTGGATGAAGCGTTCCGATTTTGCCAATGATCTTTCCGTATGCTACAACTTCCGCACAACGATGAGGGAAGAAGGTTGGATCTGAAAGTCACGAATTTATGATTGAGAATAACTTCAGTTTTCAAATTATTCACTAAATTTTAATGGTGACGTATGTACCTTCCAATGGCCTCAAATGATAACCCTCATCATCTTTGTTGCTGTGCCACGGAACTTCAAGAATATGCATTATCCTATCAAGGACACCGTGAACTAATTCGAACCTGGCCATTTTATTGTAATAGACCACGCACAAACGCCTCTCATTGCGAGCTCCGACTTCGGCCTTGGGATCCTTTAATATGACGTCGGAAATTTCGAATAACTTCATTGGCAGTGGCATTTTTCTATTTGCCACAATAGTCTTTAAAAGACCAGACAACAGAGTTGTCCTTCCAACCTGAAACGATTATATAAAAATTATATTAACTGAGATTTAAAAGTACTGCTTGATTAAGTTATGCAGTAAAATTACTTGAAATTCCAGGGTTTTTGGATTTGAAATGTGGACTACAGGTAGTTTTTTTATGTCATGTCCAAGCTTATCAGCAACATCTTCTCTTGAACACTTAATACCAAATCGAGATGTTAACGACGCAATTTTAAATATTTGTACAACACTTATAATATATCCTTACCAATGAAAAAGTCAAAGCTTCTGTAAATCCAGCATTTGCCATAGCTTCCCTCAGTTGATCCGTAAGTTTGTTGAGAGGAAACTGTAACGTTAGAAAAATTTAAATAAACAATCTCAGAACCTATTGTAATGGAAGTTGTATTAAAATCTTAAAAATTACTTCTTTTCCAATACTAGGAGTGTGTGGCACTGTTTTCTTGATATTGTTGTAACCATATCCAATAGCAACATCCTCGTAAATATCACAGGCATGAATAACATCATGCCTCGTGGGAGGGATTTGCACTTGCAAGTCATCATTGTTTAAAACTTCTGTTTTCAAGGACATCTTAGATAGTAGTCTTGCAACATCCTCTGATGACTGACTAAAATTATAAAGAATTACAATTTGACCATTGTTACAGAGAAATAAAAAAAAATACCATGAACCAAGTAAACTTACTGGATTCCCACATAGTTTGTGGCACGTTTGCTACTAATTTTTTCAGTCCTATATTTTAAATCAGGACTGTCACTTACAGTTCCATTGGGATAAACTACTTCGACTACTTCTACTTCGTGTTTTGATGAGCAGTACTCACTGAAGGCACAAACTAAGGTATCAACAGCAATTTTTGCCTAAAAGGTCTTCCATGTTAGAATATTGTGCTAAATTCATTACAATATACTATAATTTACCTTTGTTAAATCTGTGGCAGTACACTCAATGAAAATATTTTTAGTCTTGAGCGTTATTTTTGAATGATCACTATTTATGATGGGTGGCAATGATAAAACAACTCCATTCTGATCATAAATAATTGGATAGACAGGGCTATCTTTTATGATCGGCAAATACTGTTTCAATTGTGCATGGTGCTAAAATGACACAAATCTTTAATGAACAAGTAAATTAATCGATTTGACTAGTAATGCACAATATTTGTTTTCTCTTACAGCATACAAGTCCATAATCTCTTGGCCAGTATACTCCTTATCTTGATTTAAAGGCTTGAATTTGATATCGTGTGGTGGCTTAGCATCATAAATGAAAGGTCCCTTAATGGTATCTAGATCGTGTGTTCCTATTGATACCAAAGAACGTTTTCTACCAATGTTTTGATGCAACTTATCTTGTAAATCAATGAAACTATCATAAGCGCTTTGAGTTATCGTAACATTTCTTAACACAGCGGCCACTAAATGCCCTCGCACTTGTAAACACTGGATGAAAAAATCGAAAGTCAACAATCTATAATAAGTGCCAAAAAATTTTTTTTACAACGATGTACTTACAGCTTTTTTCATTGTAATCCTTTGTACATTTTTTGGTTTTACGGCTTTGTAACAGGGGACGGGAATCTTTTCCAAGAACACTGAAAGACCCGTGACAAGACCTTCTAAGCACAGTAAATCATAACGATTGGCTGGAATGTCTATCTTGTAAAGGATTTCATCAGAAGCTCCTTGTGTTTGTTCAACTCCCTGTTCTTTAGCTATCATTTGTTGTTCAGTTGTCTAAAAACAGATACATGGTGTTTTAATTTATGTAAGAAAAAAATATTGGAACGCCTTTTCTTTATAATAGCAATTTAAACAAAACTTATTTATGAGATATTACAAAGTGAAATAAAAAGATGCCAAAACTCACCACTTCGTCCAATTCCAAACCGAATTGGAAACACAACTTCTGAAACTCATCATCAGCTGTAAACAAAAAAAATGCAAAATTCACATATTGTTCAAAAGAGGTACAGTATCGAACGAAAGTTTTATATCAAGCAATACAATAATGCATAAAAATACAGAACAGAAAACTTACTGTATGTATTACCAAGAGCATTAAAAAGCAAGTCGCGTTTGACGCCGACAGTCGGCATTTTTAACGAAAATTTGTAAAAATGTACGCGATTGAACAGATTAAACACACAGCAATGAGGTTATTTTAACATACATGTATTAAAGGTTAAGAAAAAATAAGCCTTAATTTCCCGTATGCAAGTCTCTGAAGGAGAGTTTCAGGCATTTTAGGCCCTAGAGCCATTTAATCAAGTATTAACCAGCCGCAACAACTCTCATCGATATAAAATTAAAAGATAATGTTGTTTGTGTTGTTTGCGGCAAGTTTACCATTTATCTGTTACCCGAAAGTATAAATATATAGGTGGTCGTTATTCGTGTAAAAGATACATTGCAAACTTGCCGCAAACAGCATCAACCATGTTAATTTTTTATTTTGTATTTACAAAATCAGTTGCGGCTGGTTTATAATTGATTAAATGGCTCTACTATAAGTAGTTATAATTATTTGGATCAGCGACATCTAGCGGTCGAAATTTTTTTGGCCAAAAATTGCTTCTGAAATTCTGAAGGAGAGCTTTAGGCAGTCAAGCCCTAGAGCCATTTAATCAATTATAAACCAGCCGCAACTACTGTTATAGATATAAAATAAAAATTAAACATCGCTTGTGCTATTTGCGGCAAGTTTACAATTTATCTTTTACCCGAAAGTGTAAATATATAGCAGATCAATATTCGGGTAAAAGATAAATTGTAAACTTGCCTCAAATAGCACAAGCGGTGTTAAATTTTTATTTTATATCTACAAAATTAGTTGCGGCTGGTTTATAATTGAGTAAATGGCTTTAAGGCTAAACTGCTTAAAGCTCTCCTTCAGAATTTCAGAAGCAATTTTTGGCCAAAAAAATTTCGACCGCTAGATGGCGCTGATCCAAATAATTATTACTACTCATAGTAGAGCCATTTAATCAATTATAAACTAGCCGCAACTAATTTTGTAAATACAAAATAAAAAATTAACATTTTTAATGCTGTTTGCGGCAAGTTTGCAATGTATCTTTTACACGAATATCGACCACCTATATATTTATACTTTCGGGTAAAAAATAAATTGTAAACTTGCCGCAAATAGCATAAACTATGTTAATTTTTTATTTTGTATTTACAAAATTAGTTGCGGCTGGTTTATAATTAATTAAATGGCTCTACTATGAGTAGTAATAATTATTTGGATCAGCGCCATCTAGCGGTCGAAATTTTTTTGGCCAAAAATTGCTTCTGAAATTCTGAAGGAGAGCTTTAAGCAGTTTAGCCCTAGAGCCATTTACTCAATTATAAACCAGCCGCAACTAATTTTATAGACATAAATTAAAAGTTGGCATTGCCTGTACTATTAACGGCAAGTTTGCAATTTATCTTTTATCTGAATATCCACCTACTATATATTTATACTTTCGGGTAAAAGATAAATTGTAAACTTGCCGTTAACAATGCAGACAACGTAAACTTTTATTTTACATGTATGATATTAGTTGCGGCTGGTTTATAATTGAGTAAATAGCTCTACGGCTAAACTGCCTAAAGCTCTCCTTCAGAATTTTAGGACTATAAGAAAAGTCACACCCTCTACACACTCTGCACTGCATGCGCTACTTAGGTAGTTGTCCCCCCCCCTCATTTATTAATATTTATCGCTCTTCTCTCCTTCTCTTATTGTCATTAAACAGTTAAGTGGTGATTTATTATTATTATTTTCGTTCAAAAATTTCATGTCTGTATCTTAGACCTTATTTCCTCTCCTCNATGTTAATTTTTTATTTTGTATTTACAAAATTAGTTGCGGCTGGTTTATAATTGATTAAATGGCTCTACTATGAGTAGTAATAATTATTTGGATCAGCGCCATCTAGCGGTCGAAATTTTTTTGGCCAAAAATTGCTTCTGAAATTCTGAAGGAGAGCTTTAGGCAGTTTAGCCTTAAAGCCATTTACTCAATTATAAACCAGCCGCAACTAATTTTGTAGATATAAAATAAAAATTTAACACCGCTTGTGCTATTTGAGGCAAGTTTACAATTTATCTTTTACCCGAATATTGATCTGCTATATATTTACACTTTCGGGTAAAAGATAAATTGTAAACTTGCCGCAAATAGCACAAGCGATGTTTAATTTTTATTTTATATCTATAACAGTAGTTGCGGCTGGTTTATAATTGATTAAATGGCTCTAAGGCCTAAACTGCCTAAAGCTCTCCTTCAGAATTTTAGGGCTACTTTTTAGTTCAGAAATCCGCAACGCTAGATGGCGCTGATCAAACAAATTATTACTATATATACTTACAGCAGAGGCGTAATCAAATATAAACCAGCCGCAACTAATTTGATAGATATTAAAAAAGAAAGTTAACGATGTCTTTGCTGTTTGCGGCTTTCTTTAATCCATTTTTAATCCAAGTTTTCAATCCAATTTTACCCGAAAATTGACCTCCAAAAGTATAAATATACTTATAAAATAAAAATAAATACAACATGGGACGTGATTCCTGGCAAACGGATACTATACGTCTACGAATATTTGCTGTTGGATCGCGCCTGTACTTATATACTTTTTTTCTCCAGTTTTACATATCGATCTTGCCTTGATCTATGTGTCCAATAAGATCCCAAGGATGTTGTGTTAAAAAGAGAATGTATAGGATATTATTATTAGTATGGTAAATATCTTCTATTTTTATTCGTTATTACCTACTTATCAAATGTATGTATATGTTTACATTTTATCACAGCTGCTGAAGTGTCGACTGAGAGAGTGGTGTATGACTCTTTAGCATTTACTTGGAGCGAGAAAAAGAAAAGGCTTATCATTCGTCATACTTATTATCGAGGGAAAGGCAGAAACAAGAACCTGGAAAACACCACCTCCATATTACCTGCAACGTCTCAACACAAGACAATTTACTTTGATCTCCATTAAGTTAAAGAAGAAATTTTGTAAGTAGGGTAGTTCAACTCGGCTTTTCGTTCAACTTCTCTCACAAGAGAAAGAGAGAGGGAGAGAAAGAGTCATTATTATAAGAAGAGGCGCAGCACGCGCTGCGCGGCCCTGCGAATAACAAGTATCAATACACAAGTGTGCAAGTGTGTATCATATTGTACTCATCGATAGAAAGCTCTACCTTAATCCCTGTGCACGACCGTTGAATCTGGCCGGCACTGTTCTGGAGAAAAAAGTATTACAGCTATCAAGCAAGAGGAAAAAATACTAAGTGTAGGGAGAGGAGGTCAGGAGGAGACATGTCGGACAAGAAGCAGCCCAAAAGGCCGTCCAGCGAGATAGACACCGGGAGCAAGCTCGGGGACGAGGAGGGCAGTCAGCAGCGCTCGAGCTCAGGCGGCTACGGTGACTGGGTCTGCTCTGATACCGAGTACGTGTTTATTCTTCCTTTTACTACGGTCATCCTCTACTTATCTACTAATGATACTTTTATTTTATTTTATTTTTTATCATGTGAATTCTATATGAATATAGTATGTGGTGACTCTTTCAAACAAACTTTGTGTTTTTATTTACACCAACTGTCTTTTCTAATTTATATTAAGTACAAATAGACGTATAACAAAATTTCGAAGTCACAAAAAAAATTGAAAATGATGTCCAAGTCGCAAAGTGTCTGCCACATTACTATGATTGTATATATTTGGGTAAATGCAGGAGTGGGATGGAGCCGAACTTGGAGGTTACTTACGCCGGAATTATTAATTTTGCGCACTGCGACAGAGAGAAACAGAGATGATCAAAGAGAAAGATTAGATTACAGTAATGTATTAGATGATGGAGAACATGGTGTTAAAGGTTGATGATGGCCCTGTTGATTCTTAGTGCCTTTGATAACAAACCTGATGATACTTGCTAGGATAGAGCTGCTTTCCTCGCTTTTGACAGTTATAAATAGTTATTTATAACTATCATCAATAATGTAACAAATCAGCAATATCATGCTCACAACTAGATGAAAGCATGAGAGCTAATTTTTGTTGTACATATTACAGGTGCACTTTCATAATGGGCTTACCCTGTTATGTGCATTATATATACATATACACGACATCAATACAGAGCAATATCGTGCCAATCTAGCTCCACGTAATCTCTTCATTTTTACCTTTTGTTTATTTATCCTTTTTTGCTTTAATGTATAGATCTGAAGTCTTATATACTTATCTCCAAAAGTTATTTAATAAATATGACTTTGTGTGTGTTGTAGATGCGCCAATGTGAACTTTGCCAAACGCAACTCCTGCAATCGCTGTGGTAAAGGTAAAATTGTTTATTACTTATAAAAAAAAAAAAATAACAAAAAAAAACTATAGAACATTAAACAAATTATTTAAACTTATTATGTACATTTGTGCTTCTTAGACCGGGGAGAATGTCCTAAGAAGAAGAAACTTGGGCAGGAGATCGGCAAAGCTGCTGCTGAGAAGAGCAGAGGCTTATTTAGGTAATCATCTATCCTTCCTACATTTAATTTAATTTAATGCCTAATAAATTTTTCTTATATAATCTTGCTTTTATTCTCCTCTTTAATAATTTTTAATAAGTTATAATAAGTTACAAGATGCAACTTTTGAAATTCAAACCATATTGTAAACAAGTTTCGATAAATACGAGCTTCAAATTACAATTATTAAAATGCAAATAAAACATTTTTTTCTCTTCATTCCATATACGCATACATGGATACATATTGAAACCAATATAACATTACAGTGCAGATGACTGGCAATGCAACAAGTGTGGCAACGTAAACTGGGCGCGCAGACAGCAGTGTAACATGTGCAATGCGCCGAAATTTGGAGACGTTGAGGAGAGAACTGGCTATGGAGGTGGTTACAACGACAGAGGCGTTGTTGAATATAAAGAGCGAAGAGAGGACGACGATGATGAATATGACGAGTTTGGCAGGCGAAAGAAGAAACGGAGAATGGAAAGCCGCAGCGATGACGACTCAAAAGATTCGTTGAGATATAGCAGTCCACCACGTAGTAGATCTAAAAATTCTAATAAAAAGGACGATTCTGATGAAGAGGAAGAAGAGGTGGAGAAAGAGGACGATGATGATGAAGTAAAAGAGGTGACTTATCTCGGTTGACTCTAACGCAATCATGTGAACTTATGTATGATTTTGTGTGGATTTTTACTTATTTTAGAGGGAAGAGGAAGAAGAAGAAGGTAAGGATGACGATAATGATGATGATGATGACGACGACGAGGACGACGACGATGATGGCGATTTGTCAAAGTATGACTTGAGCGAATGGGATGACTTAGCAGTTGCTAAAAAAAAGTATGTACCTAGATAGTTTTCATTAATACTATTAATAATATTTTCACCTGTATATATTACTTTTGTAGCACAAATGGCAATGCTTCTCCAGAAGAAAAAAAATCGAGGTAATGCTTGCTTTCGATTTCTTGTCTAACTTATCGTTCCACTACTTCAAATACAAAATTCAACAATTTTTCAGCTGAAACGGAAATTCAGAGAAGAACGGCTTACGTATGGAGGCTTGCCAAAAGTAAGGATTCATCATAGTAACAGAAACAATCGCCCAACGGCAATCCTACAAGCAATGCCAGTTATAAAACGTTTATAGAAGAATGAATTCCGTCATGAGACATGAGTTACAGAAATTCCTACTTCTCAATTTCTTGTCGTTCCAAGAAAATTAGTAATACTATTATCAACTTAATTGAAAAATGCAATTAAAAAATTTTTTTCTTCACCTTATGTATATTCATAATATATATGAAATGAATAGTCTTCAATTTGCACAAATAGAAATAATTTCGGAAAAAAAGTAACGTTCCCGTTATAGTGGCACTATTATTAAAATACTGTTAATAACAGCTTTTACAGTTTGGAGCACTTTTCGTGAGATATGGATTATTAGGCAATTTATAAGCATTTAAATTTGATAGAAAAAAAAAAAAAAATTAATGAACCTTATCATGAATTATCTGTGTAGGAAAAGATAACTGTGTGAAAATGACGATTCTTGTACTAGTTAAATACATATTCTTCTTTTTCTTGTAAATATCTTTATTTTGTTTTTCATTTATAATAAAAATCATTCGTCAACAACGTAATTGTTCTTAGTCAATTATGTCTTATATATAATATTGTTACACACTACAATGATGAGGTGTGTTTGCGTTGATCTGTGTGCGAGTCCTTTTTTTCAATTTTTTTTTTAGTAGAGTAAAAAAGGAAGGAATTCATGTTATAACAGCTTTCTAATGATTATGCACAAAGTTGGTCGTGAAATGGGAAGAAGACTTTACTTTCTATCTCAAATGGAATATGGAGTGGAAAGGAGAGGAAAAGGTGGACGATATCGTTAAGGACTTATGTCGTTTGGGTACATATGTTTATGTATGTATAATATGTATATATCGTATGTATGTACATTCGTCGGTTTTGAGCTTTTTTTGCTGTTTCACTTAAGTATTTCAGCACCAAAAGGAATTGATGGCATGTTTTTTGTCGAGGCTAGGTCGCGGTGTTACTTTTACAATTCGCGAGTTTCGCAGTCGACGACTTTTTAATGATAGCGTACGCAATTATTATACGGTAAAATGAAAAGAAAAATAAGAAAACCAAAATTCAGTTCATGCAGGTCTGAACGCACGTCCTGCTCGGAATCACCGTTCGTCGAGGGTTCCCCCGTACCTTTTAATAAGAGTACAAAGTGTGGATCGGTGACGGTTGCGTGAATCTCTTGACGATCGGCATAACATTACAGTACCGTCACGTAAGCCGTGAAATTTTTGTTTATATATGCGTCGAGCGACATTGCGAAAGCCCAAATTTTGCCTTAGTCTACAATTAATATATGTACAGGTGCATCGTATTCGGTACAGTAACTTTAAATTTACAATTTTTTTTTTATATACTTATCTCCAAAAGTTATTTAATAAATATGACTTTGTGAGGGCTGTAGATGCGCCAATGTGAACTTTGCCAAACGCAACTCCTGCAATCGCTGTGGTAAAGGTAAAATTGTTTATTACTTATAAAAAAAAAAAATAACAAAAAAAAACTATAGAACATTAAACAAATTATTTAAACTTATTATGTACATTTGTGCTTCTTAGACCGGGGAGAATGTCCTAAGAAGAAGAAACTTGGGCAGGAGATCGGCAAAGCTGCTGCTGAGAAGAGCAGAGGCTTATTTNTTTTTTTGTTCAACTCACTCTCGCAAATACACATTATCTTCACTTTCAAACTTTCACACAAATCGCAGTACCAGCGCATTTTCCGGATTTTTTCTTCTTATTTTAATTGAAGAGTATCTGTTAATTGAAATTCGCGACGGGAAAAGAGATTCCTTTCTAGCCGTTCATCAAGGAAGCACCTCTATTTATTCATAATTTCAGCTCTGCCGACGTGTTTAACGCGAATCAAGTACAAACCGACACGTCGCCATGAGCACGTAACAACGCCTCGTGAGAAATGACTCGTAAAAAAGTACGCAAATAATGCGGGAAAGGGAGGGGAAAAAAAACAAGCCTCGACTTATTTCGACACGGTGCTCGCGACCTCCAGAGCTCGAGAAGGTGAGGGGACGCGCTCGCACACGAAAGCCAGACCTTTTCTTTTGGATTTTCCTTCTCTAGACTTGGGAGTTCTTCATCGGCTAACGCTGTTAGTCTATTTAGGCATGAAGAATTGTTGATGTGCATTGGGCTGATTATGCATGGCCGGATGGCCCTGAGGCCCGCTTCCTCTCGTGCCCGTTGCATAAAGTTGCTGCTGGAAGTTGTGATACTGCTGTGCATAATTAGGGTCAGACATGCTCGGACCACCACCCATAAAAGGGCTGTTTTTGAAATTAGTGCCAGCCCCAGATCCTCCCATGCTCGGTGGTAGCGGTTGCGATGCGTCGGGTGGTGATTGACCCATGGCACCCGGCTGCTTCTGTCCAGGTCCCATGGGGCCACCGTACATGCCTGGGCTAGCCGTTTGGCCAGGCATCTGTGGCATTCCACCGGGACCCATATCTGGAGGAAACACCTTGTCTGGATCCATTGGACTGTTGGGGAAGACCATGCTGCCTCCCGCGACCATGTGTTGCATCCGCATGATGTTGGGTTGCTGGCGGACTCCTGGACCTTGCGACCCAGGGCCCCCTCCGGACCTCATGGACGGGTGCATAGGGCCTTGCGATTGGCCGGGACCCATACCAGACTGATTCACGTTGCCGCTCATCCCGGGAGGCATGCCACCCGGTCCTGCTCCACCCATGGGCCCATGCTGACTCTGAGGTCCAGGTCCCGGTCCCATGTTGTTTGGCACGCAGCCGTTGGGAAAGTACTGCAAATTTACAGAAGGCGAACTCATCTTGGCATCCATGCCAGGCATGGGGTTGGCGAAGCGCTGCAGAAATTCAAGGCTGGGTGGACCACGGGGCGCGTGGCCGACGTTCGGCCTCGCCGGTAAGTACTGAATCGTGTTGGGCGCACTTGGTTTTACTTGAACGTTGGCACCATTGTACGGACTGGAGCCGTGGACGTGCTGATGATGAGGCTGCTGGTGGTGCGGAAGCTGCTGACCAGGTATTCCCATGCGGGACTGCGGACCCTCGGGGCCCATCATGCCAGACCCAGGTCCTGAGTTAAAGCCACCCGGCTGATTGATACCCTGGTTAACGTTGGGATTGCAGCCGGGACCTTGAGGGCCGCCACCGCTCATCATCCCCTGCGACATCATCGGGTGGTTGTGTTGGCCCATTTTGTTTGGCATCCCGGGACTTCCGGCGTGCGGATTAGGACTGTAACTACTGTTCGGACCACCGAGACCCATGCACAAGCTCGACACATCAGCAGACTCACTCGTTGGGATGCCAGAAGCACTGGGCATGTGGCATCCACCGTTCATCTCGTTCACTTGCTGCTGCTGCTGCTGCTGCTGAGGACCGGTAGGTGCTTGCTGTTGTGGCATTGGCTGCATCATGTGCATGCTATGTGGGTTGGTGAAAGGCATCATGCCCCCCTGAACAGCACCAGGTGTGTGCATCGGCGAACCATCGTTACCAAGAGCGTTGCTAGTTGCGGTGTTCGTCAACTGCTGGCTCATTTGCGCTAGCGAAGTGATTGGATCGAAGCTGTTGGCAGACATGGGGCCACCGAGACCGCCGAGCCGATTACTGATATTATTGGGGTTTAAGGGTATGTTTTCGTTGGGTTGACTGACATTAGTCATGGGTCTACCACCACCACCACAGCCAAACGGAACATTGCCACCTGGACCACCAACTCCCATCGACGGCATCATACCCCCTGGAACGTTACCCGGCTGTCCGGGCATCATTCCCGACATGCTGGTTGACTGCTGAGACTGTTGTTGTTGTTGTTGTTGTTGTTGCTGTTGTTGTTGCGCCTGCTGCTGTTGCTGTTGAAGATCCTTGGAGGACGGCGAGGTTTCAGATTTTGTATTGGGTGAGGCAGGAATCGTACGAGGCGGACCCATGCCTATACCCATGTCCGTGAGACTGGCATTGTGCGAAGCCGGACTGCTCTGAGCGCTTTGAGACTTATTGCCGGACTGCTTTCCCGCGTCGACGGGCGTGTGGGGCGCCACGCTTCCTGGCGTGTGTGGCGTGTGCGGACTATGCATCGAGCCAAAACCACTTCGATTCGCACTCTCGATCGATGGACTCGCGCCATCGGATCTTGCAACGCCAAATTGATTACTGCTCGGTGCCCCCGAACCTCCTGCGCAACTGCTCGTGTCCAGGTTGCCGGTCAGCATCTGGTTACCCATTGCTGGGTTATTATTGCCTTGAGTATTGCTGAAAGAGAGATTAATAATTCATATTTGTTTCACGAAGTCATGAGGTTCAGCTAGACAAATGAAAAACTTTTTACGATGCAGTCAAAACGTAATATTTGATATGCTGATTTAATAAAAGTTACTGTATTAAGTGTTAACTATTAAATGTTTATTATTAGCTTAATTAAACTTGGTACAAAATATTCTGGTGTAATTGTTAAAATATTTAATACTTACGCAGGTAAACTTCCATCTTTTAAACTAGTGTTTGGTTGTTTTTGTATTGTAAGCTCTTGACCCTCGAACGTATTGAGATACGATATTTGTTGAGGACTCGGCACGGGCATTAACTCTTTAACGCCAACTTGATTTACAACGCCGGGACCGAGTTGCTGCTTCTGTTGCGCTAACGATTGCAACGATCGGCAGAACATTCCATCCACTGAAAATTTACATCAACCAATTAAATTTATGACTTCGTGTGATGTCTTGTGATGTTTAGTTCAACATTTTCGAAATTTTATTTCTGAAATGCTAGATATGAATGAGACATACGTTGGCAGCAGTCATAAGAATGTTAGACAAAAAACCTCTTATCAAACTCTAATCATGGCAAGATTGAATAACAATTTAAAACAATTTAAAGAGACTGATAAGATAAGTTCAGTGTTCTTCCTGTATGAATAAAAAAGAAACTTAAGAACAAGGTTACTTAAGATAACAGAATTATTTTTTTGTTAAAAATTGTATAGTCAAGAAATAAATTAAATCAAGCTACTTAAACATTTATTAGTGGAGTAGCTTCATATTTTTTTGCAATATATTGTTTGACAATTTAATGACAGGTATTATCGGAATTTTCTTAAATTTAAATAAAATGTTTCATCAATACGAAAGTGAAATTGATAACATTTGCTTTTGTCATAAAAGTAGCATGTTTTTATGAACGAAAATTATTTAAAATGCACTGAGGAGAATAAGTAAAATATTTTTATAATAACATAGGTTTTAACTTGTTTTAGATTATAATTTTACTTTGATTATTGATTTTATCAAATACTCATTACGAACAACCATTTAGTAAAATTTTATTGGGTCTGACTCTTGAAATCGTAGAAGAAATGTCAATTTTTTTTTATGTTTAGGTCTTAATCTTAAAATTAAGTTGTACATGTAAACAGCCTCTTACAACAAGTCAAACTCTGAAGTGAAAAAATTTTAAATACATCTTACCGTTTGGCGGCTGATTAGTAGGAAAGTCAAGTGACGTCAGATCCTTTTGTGGCGTACCGCTGGGGCTGAGGGCGGCCAGGTGTTGATGCGACACGGGCGTACCAGGATTGCTGTGATTCAGTCTGTTGGCACCAACCGCCGATGGATTCGGCGAGTCCTGACTCGTTGGACTCTGACCGGGCAAGTGTCCTGGTCCACCGGGCCTTGGTCCACCTGTGGGCGTGCCACCTAACTGAAACTGTCGATTACAGTCCGCTGGCGAGTTAAGAGCCGAGCTTGCCCGAGGCGACGGTAGTGACAGATTACTCGTGGGGTTGTTTGGCGATGAGGGGTTGGGACTCTGTATGGCAATCGGTACGCTCGCCGACCTTGTTGTTTGATGGTACGGAGGTGGTGGGCCTTGGCTACGAGGTCCATTTCCAGAAACGACGGAACTGGGAATACCCCCACCAGGCCCAGGACCAGGACCACCTGGTGTAGGCCCTGGATTCACATTGCCTGGTCCTCCACCCGTGCCGACTATTCCGCCGCCGGCTACGCGCATTGGTGGCACTCCTGGACTGTTGACGCCGACCTGGAAATAATGCTAGGCCGATGTAAATTTAGCTTAAAACGCAATTGAGTTTCGAATTTCATGACGAAGAGTACCTTATTCTTTCCATCCAAAAACTTTTGCCAATCCATCACCATCCCGCATTGATTTGGGCCACTGACGGGTGGAAGACTACCCGTTGGACAAAGTCCTCCCGGCATTTGACCGTGTGTTGGATCCATAGGCCCACCGGGTATTTCTTTTTGCTCTGGAAAGAGCATTTGACGCATTTTCGTAATAGTAGCCAGTGACTCTTCTCGATGAGCTCGTTGTTGCGGTGTCAGATTTTCATCCGGCACTTTGACGCCCTGTAACGAAGGCTGCACACCTCCAGGACCTGGACTAGTCGTGCCTCCCATCAAATTTGGACTGTGGCCCATCGGTGCACCGACGCCGAGAGACTGAGGATTAGCTGCAACAAAATGTAAATACAAATATTATGCTGGTTTTAATTTAATTTGTTTATGGCTTAAAGTACCAGTGACGATCGATCCTTGAATAATTGTTTGCATTTTTACAGTACAACAGCAAATTGATGATATTAAAAACTTACCTGCATTACAAGGGGAGTTGGGCACAAGGCAAGGCACATTAACGTTTTTATCATCTAATGATTCGGGGTTTCCTAAAGGGTTACTGCCATTCAAGTTGCACATATTTGACGGTTCATTCCAAAATGCCGACTTGCTTGGATCTAACGGAGGAAGATCAAGAGGTTGCTCTCCAGGAAATCCCATATTTGGATTTGGTGGATGACCTTTCTGCTTTATATCAGCAAAATTATTTATCCACTGATGTGGATTTAGCGGGAAGTTTGTCATTTTTTGCGGAAATTTCTGAAACAAATATTACAGCTTAATATCCAAACATACTAATATCTTTGAGAATGTCAGAAAAATTGAATTACCTCCAAAATCTTTTTCGTTCCTGGCTGTGCCATGTGGTATGCAATCATAGTTGGAAACTCGCCTCGCATAACCGATTCGGCACCCTGATTGGCCATTTTCGTTGAAAAAACAAATACTGTGTTGTGTTGTTGCATATATTGTGCATCACTGATGTCCGGACCACCACCCATTTGTTTACCCAATACGTTGCTGACTAATGGTTGCAAGGAATCATTAGATAATCCCAGATTTGGTGGCATATCTGTAAAAACAATATGGTTTCATAAGCTTGTCTTGGAAAGAAACTTTTTTTCACTTAAATGACTAGGTACAAGCACAATGAACGTCAATTTAATTAATTGTAATAAAATACACAGTAGGAGTAAGATGAAAATAGATTAGCTAATTTGATTGTGACATTTCATTAAAGCAAATACATTGTGTGTTGAAACAAGGAAGGCAAGACAATTGGATGAAATTTAATAAAACAGAATTCACTCTTGAAGAATATTTAATGGCACAAGCAGCTTGCTGCTGTTACTGCTGCAACACTTGAGCAATTTTTGTTAATTTAGCGCATCAAGATCAGTTGATGCATTTGATGCAAACAAGTGATAGGTTAGCTGATCAAGGTGAGGAAGAACCAAAGTGAAAAAAAAAACAGACATACATAGACAATTCCTCAACCGAGTATGGAGAGGGGCACAGGGAGAAGCTCTTGAGAATTAAAAAATAAAGTACTCATACTCACCAACAGGAGGTAACTCCTCGTTGGATAGAATAGGATCCGTTTCCTCTTTTTTGGGATTGAGCAATGCTTGATTAGTATTTCCATTCTGATTGTCTGGAGGCATGGTCCCATCAACGGCACTGGCTGCAGCCTCAAGGGCCGCATCCTTCAAACAGTGCTCGGCACTGTCGTTACCGGGGGTTTCATCGGTGTTGCCGGTAGCCGACTCCTCCTTGATCTTGATCCTGTCGGGCTCCGGGTCCTCCTTAACGACCACGGGCGGCACACAGCTGGGCTCGCTGGGCTTCTTCTCAGTCTTCATGTTAATAGTCCTGGCCTTCGCACGCTCGGCGTGTCAAACGGCTGGGCCCGGTGGTGCACTGAGCATGTCCACGAGACCTGCAGCGCAGGGTTGTTGCTGCTGCTACTGCTGCTGCTGCTGCTGCTGCTCTATCGTCGCCGTCGTCGTACTCCTGAGCCTGCAGGCTGCTACCCTTGCGCGTGCAGTCCTGCAGCAGCAGCAGCAGTGCAGAGAGCTCTTGTAACAACAAAAACAATAACACCACAAACAACAACAACAACAAACGCTAGCCTGTGGCCCAGTGGTGGAGCAATAAAAGTTGGCGGTGCATGAGTCGCTGCAGGCTTGGCCGCGGCGTGGGCCGCGACGACGACGTTTACGACGACGGGTAGGACGTGCAGGTGCAGAGAGGAGCGAGAACCGGGAAAAATGGTAGGGGTGCGGGGAACAGCCGGTACGCCTATCCAAAGTCCAGATGATGAGCAGCGTCACGGAACTCTGGCCGGGCAGTATGTAGTGTTACAAGTGCAAGTAGGTATTATAATTGTAGCACAGCAGCGTGGGCGCCTGCAACTTTCCGGGCGCGTATATGTAGTTGCTACCTATACATATGTATACATATGTATATATACATATTTATACACACAGGCTCTCTTGCACCACTAAACGAAGCAAGTGATACAACGTAGGTACAACGTACAACACACTGAAGACTGAACAACACTGAGACACGCGCGCGCACGAATACACGGAAAGAAAGGGGGACGACGGTCGTCGTCGACGACGACGACGACGACGAAGACGACTGGTAAAAGACACACGGAAGCTGCGGACTGAAATCACTTTGGTGCTCCTGTATGCACACTCCACACACACACACACACACACACACACACACACACACACACACTTGGAGACTTGGCGCGTGCGGATGCTGGTGGAGAGCTGGAGGCTGGAGAGCACGCCGAATATATACAGACTGATACAGAGGTGCGCTGAGACTTGGTCACTCACTCACTCGCTCCAATTGCTTGGGTTTGCGGAGCAATAAGAAAAACAACAGCCGCAAAGCCTGCAGTGGAACACTGATTATTTCTCTTCTCTCCTCCTCTTGGAGCACGCGTATAGTAAGTATTCAGCGCGCGCTTGCTTATGCTACGTGTGCTATAAACTGCTGTATAGGTATACTCGTGTACTATTCATATATATATAGCAATCTATCTATCCGTAGCGTAGGTTATTGTATTCTTCTTTCGGCCAAGCAGCACTGCGCATCACAGTATACATTAACACCACACTGATGTGTCCTCCCGATGGTGACTTGATGGAGCAGCCGCTGCCTCCTCGCGCGCTCGACGGCTTCCTCGGCAGCGGCGGCGGTGAATACTTAGTAGTGCAGGCGGCGGCGCGCGTCCGAATGGAGTCACGGATGTATATTGTGTATACGCACTACTAAATTATACCTATATATATATATATAATATATCCTCTCCACACACGCACTTCATACGCATGAATCAACTCTCGGCGCTGCTGCTGTTGCTGATTATATATGCGCTTTTCTTTCCTCTTTTGCTATACCTTATGCATAGTATACCTATATGTACCAAAACTTCTCTCTTGTTTCACCGTCTTTGCTTTTGCACGCCCGTTCGTGCATGCGTGTACCTATGTATGTGTACACGGGTAAGGTGCTGTGCCGTGCAGTGTGTGCAGTGCACGGGGTGCACCGCGGCGCGGCGGCGGACGATAATCTTCTCGCCTTGGATCGAGAGATAGGTACTCTCTCTCTCTCTTTATCTTATTCTTTCTCGCGAATCTCGCGATAGGAGGCGATAGGTATTAGCACAGATCTTTTATTCCTGTGCCTTGGAATTTGGTTACTCAAGTACTTGGTACTGTACTGCAGGCATCGGGGGATAATCAATTTTGACACGTGCAAGATATCATTCATCGTATGCAAGTACCTACTGAAAATTCTTATATTCATACATCATATCGTACTTACTGTGCCCACGTCTAAAATGCGTTTGGATTGTTTGGAATGTCGTAAACTCACAATCTGCAGTAATCATGGAGTACGGAATCCGTACTACGGATAATAAGAATTACATATAGGGGCCAGAGGGGTACCTCGTATACATATATATTTTTTTATATGTTCTTACGCGGCGTAAGTTACACCGTCTTCTTTCTCCTCATTCGTACTTATACATCGTGCAATCCTTACCATGACATGATCTGATGCCTATTTATACTTAGTTCTACTATATATGTTTAGCCACTTAAGTCGTAAACCTGCATGTAGGTACGAATAAGTATGTATGGTTTGTGTGGGTCTACGTTCCACACGTGTGTGTAAATCTCTGATTTCCCCTCGTTCTCCGCAATCGTGCCGTGGGAACGCAAGCTATCTCTCTCTCTCTCTCTCTCTTTTGGATCGCGAATCTATATATATATACATGTATTCCCAAAAAAACAGCATCGGTCACACACGCAACAACGAATATGGCTTTAGCAAAGAAGAGCGTTATAATATACGTATACGCATATGCGGTGTGTATATATGTGTGTTTCGAGTTTCCTTGTATACATCTTACAATGTGCCTTGATGCCTTCTTCGCCAAATCGCCATGCAGCAGCAGCTTTTGCCTTCTCTCTTTCCTTTCCCTCCGTTTTGTCTCTCTTCTTTGGAATGTCGCCACCGCTGCCGCTCCCGAACTGCACAAACTGCTGAAGCTGAAATAAAAAAGGGGGGAAGGGATATACCTATATGAGGGTGTATCGCAAATCGCAAAGCAAATGCGTAAGCAAGAAAGATGGACCATTCTCGGATGGTCAATCGCTGGTTAAAGGTAGCTCTCTTCCGTGCATCAGATAAAATCCACTTAATGTTTTGTTATCACAATGTAACCAACAGTTAAGATATGTAATATAATATCGTATATCAAGTTTTCATTTCCAACGAAAACTACCCTCTTTCCCCATCCTCTACCTACACACCTTTAAATATCCCATCCCGTGCGTTGTGCATGTTGTATGTTACAGATGGTGATATATTCCAGTAAAATTACTCCTAAAAACTAAATCTCAAAATTTTACTGTTCATAGGATGTACTTATCATATATTTCCAAATCCACTGACAATAGGGAACAAAAATTAGTCCAAACAAGTTTTGTGAGTCTGAATTCTAAGCAATATAAGTGTGAAAAAAAAATTTTACTGCAAAATATGTACCTCCGTTTTCAATAAGACAATAATAATTATGTTTACAAACTGTTATTGCGTAGACCCTGAACATTAAAGATTTTTATGTATTGTCGATAATAATCATGCTGGGTTGAAAACGTAAGATGAGAATTAGCGATTTTAGTAGTGATTTCACTGGGCTATTAGATGAAACGACTCTGAAAACTACATGGCATTGTGATCCTCCCCACTCTTCCCCGTTCTTCTTTCGCCTCTTTTTCTTTGCATGCACCACGCACCGCACCACTGCATGCAGTGCACTGAACTAAACTTATCTGCGACTGTGACTTAACGTCTTGTAAATTGTAACGACAGGGCTGCTTTGCGGAAATATAAGATAAAGTCTTCCCTTCCCTCGATAACTTCTCTTTGTTAACTTTGTTCTCTCTGTCTATACCCACTACAGTTTGCCACTCGTTTGCATGAGCAAGTTTAAATTGTTTATTGTATAAATATCTCAATTTTATTGCTAAAAAAAATTTTTTTCTTTTTCTCCTGATTAATAGCTTGTGCCAAAATAAAGACTGTTTTTCTCACATAACGCAATATTTACACCAACGATTATTTTTTCTCCGTATTTTATGTTTTGGGTAAAAAAAGTCAATCGTGCATTGTTTGTGCGAAAAAGAAAAGTTTTCTGCTTTACTAGTTAAAAAGGAATTATTCAAGGACTCGAGTTAACTTATAAGTGACAAACTACTATATAGAGCGTCTATTTCATTTTTTTTGTACCTGTTTTACACGGTTTTACATAGATTCGATTTGCGCAAAAAATGAGTATTAACCACTTCTGATGAGCACACGAAATAATGTTGTACAAAGCTGAATTTTTCAGTTATCTAGTCAGTTGATGCACCTTTAAAGTTTACTAAAAAATATCTCCCCTCTCCATTTCACCCCTCTACCCGTCTACACCCCACTACTTGTAAAAAACGCGAAAATAAAGTTCAAAGGAAAAATAAAAGAAAGAGACATTAAAGCCGATATATAGCTACTTTTTGCTATACTAAAAATGGCTTGTATGTATAATTGTATGCCCAGTGACAAATTGCACAAGAATGTCATACATACGCAGAAATAAATGGATGATAAATTCCAAAAATATCGCAACTGAGTTGTATACCCAAGACAATAATAATCAACAATAGGATTTATTCCAATGAAGCATTTGGTTGACTTGCTTCGTGTGACGAGATGAATTTAAGTTTTTTGACACCAGATAGTGCACATTCGATTCGAAGGAGTCACATCGTCACATGAGTGTTGTTTGTTTATGCGAGGGCAATAAGTAACTTTCTGTTGTAGGAAATCTAAATTGAGATTGGACATGTTTCACCGACCCGAGAGAAGAGGAATCAAGAAATTGATAAAATCTCATGAATTAATGCGCTCGAGTTAAGCGTGTAATATACATTATGACGTATATGATGCACATACTTATTTATGTATATGCATTATAATGCCTACGTACATATGCTGCACCGATACTTTTGAGAATTTCTATAAATGTCCGATGAAATAGTGGTACTGAAGTGCAAAAAAGAGCAATTATGTGTGCGTGCATGTATACTGATAAACATAAAATATCTGTGGTCTACTTCATTTTTTTCCTCTCTTCCTATAGCTCCACTCCTTTTTTCTCTCGTATTATTACAGTATACATGTGAATTTGTCAATAATATATACTTGCAAAGTCTACAACTTTTGTGATTTCTCCACAAAATACAGTTTTTTTTTTTTTTTTTTTTTTTTTTTTTTTTTTTTTTTTTTTTTTTTTT